CCCCCCCCCCCCCCCCCCCCCCCCATAAGTCCCGACTTACAACTTATCACCTTCTTCGTCTCGCAGCTCTAACCCACTACGCCGCCCATCCCAACCGCTGTAACCCACTTGTGCGTACCCATCCCACGGGCCTAACAAAATCGCCCGTATTTTAACGTTCGTCAGGTACGCCGTCTTTCGGGGCGTTCTCTTGCCAGTGGTAAGTAAGGCAACAACAGCCAAGCGCACGTACCGCGACCATCGAAATAGCGAATTTCCCCCCCGCGGGCGTGGAGGGCATGGAAGGAGGCGTCGCCCCTCCGAAGAGGAGCCCCTGGCCGATCTTGGTGCGGATGTTGCCTTCCATCTCCGCGAAGAAGCTCCGCTGCTGGTCGTTCCGCCGCGCGACATCGGCCCTGCGGGTCCATCGAAGACGGTTGACGGGGACATTTGTTAACAAAAAATTCACGAATACGTAGATTCAAGTACACAACACGGTTTGGTATTTGTTGGACAGCGAGCCTTGGGACAGCGAGCCAGCAGATGCTAGTTTTGGCGGCGGCGCGGGGGGGGAGGGCTCGGGGAAGGTATAAAAAAGATAAATGGCGACGGCGGGCGGGTTCGACAACGAGAGCGGCCATGCACTTTCGCTCTTGTTCGTGCCTTAGAAGAGGGTGCTTGTTTCTGTTGCCCCGCGTGGGTGTGGGGTTACAAGCTCAGGCATGGCGGCGGACGACGGTATGATGATCTGATGGAATGGCGAGGGTATCGATCATGGGGCGTCCTTACAGTGACATCACGGTTCACTACTACCCGCCACAGCTACCACTGCTGCCGCCGACCGCTGCGTGAGTGGGGAAGACGGCACGTCCTCCCTGCCGCCTCGGCATTAATTACCTCTCTCTTGCCGAGCACAGGGCTAGCGGCTTGTCCCAGACCGACTCTCTGGAGATGATGTGGTAGTAGTACGTCTTCTGAGACGCTTCGTCCAGCACGCTCCGCCACATGGCGGCGTCCTTCTCCCGTTCCCACTCGTCTTCCTCCGCTTCATCGTCGTCGTCCTCCTCCTCCTCCTCCTCCTGCAGAGACTCCATCGATAGCATAGTCCTCCGCATGGCCTCTGCTCCGCTGCTACAGCTGCTGCCGCTGTTGATTGCGCCCTCCCCCGAACAAACCGGCGAGAGAGCTATGTACGACCACAAGAAACAACGGCACGCACGAGGAGGCGAGAGTGGGAAAAAAAGTGGATGACAGGTACAGTATCATGGAAGACCAGGGATCCTTGCGGACACATCCCAAATGTAGGAACAATCGATCCTTAGAAGCGTGCTTTGACTTTGAGTAGGGACGAAACGTCAAGAGGGGCACACAGGCGCACATTTCGATCTTTTCACACCGACAGATAACACAGCTAACTGCGAGTAGGGGAGGATCTTCAAGAGGGCATAACCGGGGCGCGTTCGGGTTCACGTACACCAACAGACAACCACACAGCAGTGCCCGCATGCCTCGGCGAACTCTACCGGCGGTAACTACGAAGTCTCAATGGACGTGCATGGTTTGTTTTTATCGACTGGTTTCTATGGGCTAAAAAGCGCCCAAAGGACGAAAGCAACAACACACTACATATCTCTAGCTGAGTTTCCCTCCAACCTCTTCATATCTGATATCCTCCACCTCCACCCAGAGTGGGCAAATGATGTAGAGGACAAATGAAAGGGGTTCGAAATTGACGAAGCTGGTAAGTCGGAACGGCAAAGTCTAGAGGGATTCAAGAATTTAGGTAAGTGTCGCTTGTTCCAAGAGAGAACGAAATCTTCGAAAAGAAAGAAAGGATAAGGAGGGTCATGTAGAAGTGTGCGAAAGAAAAAAGGACTTGGTTCAAGGAGTACCTACATGGACCAACGGATGAAGGGACAAAGCCAGCCGAAGGTCAAACTTAGGACTGGGGACATCGGCCTTCGAGAACGTAGACGGAAGATTTTACGGTAGACGGAGACGAAATCAAGTGTGAATGCGGCTCCGAGCGCGAGGCCCGGGTTCATGCGTTGCAGAATGTCCGTTCTCTGCGAAAAGGAGAGAGAGATGGGCATGGCTGAGCTACGAGAAGTAGAAGGAAGTTACAGAGAGATGTTTGAGGCATGCAAGAGCCAGGAGAAGAGTGTGGCTACACATGAGGACGCCCCCCTCCCCCCTGTAACTTTAACTTTTCCACCTATACAGGAGCAGATTGTACTCCAAGTGTATCGCACACGGAAGCGATGTGTTCGTCGTGTGTGGCGCGCCTGTTGTGTACGAGCTCGCAAAGATCGAAGTCCTTGCGGTGCTTGAACAATAGTCGTGGCTGCCGAATGTAAAACTTAAACTTCTGGCCACAGCAGTAGCCGGGATGCCCAATTAACCCATGGCATATATATCTGGTTTGGGCACAGTATTACGATAGGATCATGACCAGCTTTGGTTCTTCGTCATCCCTGAAAAACGTAGCCTGGGGTGGTGAAAACCCGGCATATCGCTCCGTCCGGTATTGTAGGTATGCGAGGTCAATGGTCTAGCGACTTTGACACGCATTTGCATGTGTACACACACACACCCTCCCCCAGCCCGCCGAGCCTGGTATGTTGGTCGCCAGGTGGGACCCCACCGTCGGATTTCAGCCCTCAAAATGCTGTCGTCACTATATATTTATTGCTTGTTGCAGCGTCTTTCTTACAGCAGTATTTAGTGTTCCAACTGCAAAGAGAGCAAGTTGCAGTATTTCAAGGGCGGGCGACGGGTTCATTCATCAAAAGCCCCCGGGGGCGCGGCGCTGGGTCAGCGGGGCGGCTGTCGTCTCGAGATAATGTCTCATGGATTGTTTGTCAACAGAGTGGTTCGGCCCGGAATGAAATGGAAGGAACCGCCGTTCGTTGTTGTACTCTCATCTCAAGTCTCTCAGTACAGCTGCACGCAGCGGGCAGAGTGTCTTCTTCGAGACGCCAATTGCTACACTTACAGCAGTTGTATGCATAGAAAATCGTTGTAAAGACGAGTTGGTCGGCGGGCACAAGCGAACCTTAGCTGGTGTGGTGTCTTTCTGTCGTGCGGGCTTCGCACAACACATGAGGCATTTTGGTCCGTTTATCCTTTCCCTATCAAAACGCGTGGACTACTGCTGTATACGTACATGATTGTTCAGATCAGACGCATTTGTAATGCGTGCGTCTGCAAGTTGATGGATGGGTCCGCACTGAAATATTTCGACCCCCGACACACATACCTCCGTTGGGATCACACGCGATTAATGTACAAATGCATCCAACAGAGAATATAATTGCCTCCTATGCATACAGCAGTGCAATCCGTGTGTTTGCGAATCGCGGTTACGTTATTGGCTTATATTTATGTACCCAGGGCACGAGCGCCGAGTGCCGAGATGAGATGCATGCAGCAGTTTAGTTCCAAGAATTTCGAGAATTCCGGAGGAGGAGCGAAAACACATAAAAAAAAAAAGCGGGGTATCTAGTCTATGTATGTATGTATCTATCGACCACCCGCCAACACAAACAGGACTCAAGCGCGTGATGAAGTCCCCTTACATGCTCAACAGGAGTCATAAACATGTAGTGGAATGGGTCAGCCACAACCGCAGCAGGGAGCATGACGAGCATGTGTGTAGCATATGTACGTTGTAATAAAAAGTACGTCGGCAATTTTTCGGGGAGATGCTCCCTAGCGCCAGGTCAAAGAGAAGGGCCCGGCGCGAACGAAAAAAATCTCTGCCGTCAGGGCACGCGCCCACGAACATGAATGAGGATCGTCCTTTGACGGCCTCAAGATATAGCCATGGTCGCATTGAAGAGCACAAGAATCGCTATCTGCATCGGGGGGTCGGGGTCTCAAAAGCTCCAACCTCAAATTGTAGTCGGCAGTCGGGTCGGAATGATTTACGCGTGCACAATGCACAACAGACCACAGACAGGCAGCAGGGGGGCGCGTTTCATCTCTTGTCATATGGATCAACCTGTTCCATGTTTGCCCGCGAAAATAAGCGCCCCGTCCAGGTGCTATCATAAAGTCGTGGGCTGTTACGAGGGACAAGGTGCAAGCGAGAGGGCGACCAACACGGGCGATTTACAGAGTTGATCGCAAAATTGCCCCCCCCTCGCTTCACTGCTGTCGGTGGAGCTACATCGCTCTGAAGGCCTCCCTGGATGTAAATAAAGAGGTTACATACACCAGGAAGAGAACGGTATGGATTTTTTTTTCCTCTTGCTTTCGCCGGCGATCCTCCAGCACAGGACAGCGTCACCCTCTAGGTGCCGACAAGCTACCATTCGTTGTGCTAGAGCAGCAGTAACTGAACCTCATGTCTTGCGTCGCGAGCGCAAGCAGCAGAGAGTGGAAATCGTGAGAGGCCTATTGACAGGTCCGCCGGGAAAATGTTTGCGGGTGACCCTCCAAGGTATCAGCCGACCTTCAACATCTCCAATCTCCTACCCTGCCGCCTACGGTGCGCCGACATGGTTACTCTTTTGGATGAGCCGCAGCCGTGGCAGCAGAGTAAATCCGTCTATCAACTCGCTGCTGAGCCAAGGAGAGATCAGCACTGGTTGCCCATGCGCTCTCCTGCAGCGAACCGTGTGTTTTGGGGGAGGAATGGTCAAACTGCTGTGTGTGTTGCTTGATAACAGCGAAAACACGCGCGCGCGCTGGTCGGAAAAAACAAGGTACGCAAAACACGCGTTGCACATGCAGGCTACCTTTTTCCCTAGCTCTCACACTACACCGACATGCAGCTTGGTCCCTTCCGTCTCTTCTCTCACCTTTCTTTCTCTCGGAAGCAGCCCCAACCGGCCAAAGTGCAATGCAACACAAGCGAGACACAGCACGAACAGAAGCAGCCGCCAGCACACCACGTCAACTATTGTTTACCCCCCGTGCCCCCCCCCCCCCCCCCCACCCGCTCGCCGCGGGCGCCATACCGTACTTTTTCGATACATATACCTTTTGCGGGCGCTCCGGTGCGCACCACACTGTAAAAAAAGTGTCCACATGTATGTCCACACACACACCATGCCATCAATTGCATTTCTCTTTTTTTTTTGGTTGCTGTTTGCCAATCCATGTCGTGCGCCAACCCTGGTCGACACCCACACGCAAACACCTTCGCGACTAACCCTTTCTCATTTTTTAGTTGTCGCTACGAGTAGAGAGGATTGATTGCGAACAGTTTCGTCAGTTTTACATAGACTACAGGGTATTGATACAAAAAAAGTAGGTACGTACCTGGTGTAGCAGTAGAGTGAGTCTACTCCTTGACTAGTCTTTGTATGCATAATTTACAGCAGCAGCAAATTATCTATCCATGGATAGAAATGAGAACTTCCACGTTGTACAACCTCCTGCCAAAGAGGGCACGCGCGCATACTCACGTTGTGACCGCCGTGCTTCAACATCGACAGCAAGCAGCGTTATTATATGACACACCGACAATACGATAACAACCGGGGTAAAAAAGCGCTGAGTAATTGATGTGCACAAATGAATCCCCCAGAACACAACGTAGTTTAGACTGGACCGCGCATGCATGAATTCCCACGACGGAGATTAGCTCTCTTGTCGTCGTTTCAATCCCATTCTGCGACACTTGGAAACAAAACCGCCGCCCCCCGCCCATAAATAATTTTTGCCGTTTCGACAACCTGCATAAAGAAAATGATGTCTGCATACAGTTTAGACTAGAACTTGATCCATCGTGGAGGCATGCGCTCCGATCTACTTGTAACAACACTGGTTGTGATGCCGGTCTGCCGTGCCGGACCGCCGGTATTATCCTGCCGTGAGTTCTGACGGCCTGGCGGCTGGCGGCCAATATTGTTCTCCGTCCATTGAGGTGTTCGCTGCCGCCCCTTTCCACGTGCGAGAGGACAACGGAGGAGATGAATAATAATAGTCGACGCAACGCAAAGAAATGAGCAGCAGTAATAATAGGGCACAGCAGTAGTATATCGTCCGACACATACATGTGAATGGTAAAACAAAGTGGTATCGTCGGTGCTGTTGCTTTGTGACACTACCACAGCAGTGCAAACAAACTTGCCGCCCGGGAGGGACGCAGATGATGATGGACCCGAAGGTGTTTTGCGTCGTTGGATCATCTCCTAACTTTATCAAGATTTTGGTATTAAGTATTTGAGATGTACCTTCAAATTTCCAAGGACGTGGGAGCCACTCACGCAAGAGGATCAGACGGCCGTCAGCTCGAACATAGCGACAAAGGGACGTGCAAAACACGATGATACAGGCAACCTCTCACCGGTTCACCGCCATACCACCCATCATCCTCGTTCAGGCCTCGGTTGCAAGGGGCCTTGTCCGCGATCAACGACTCCAAATAGCCTCCTCCGTTGCGGACGTGATACGCTTCCCCTTCCGTCAACTCAAAAGCCGACTGTTCTCCCGCCGCCTTCCTACCCATCGCAACACCTGCCGCAACCACCGTACGCCGCCGCGATGTGTGTGGGGACACAGCAGCCCCCACCGTCTTCTTCGGCTCCCAGCGAGCCTTTCCCGAAGGAGGGAGGCAACCGCCGCCGTGCTTGTATCCGCCGCTGTTGTTGTCGTCGGACTGAGGCGAGGCCTTGTGTTTTCTGCTGCCGTGGTGAAACCGGTAGGGTCGGGAGTACTCCTCCCCGTTGTGGCCTCCCCCAGTGGCCGCTTGAGAACCGTACCGATCCCCGCCGCCGCCGGCGAGGGGATCTTCCTGTGATGCGGATCTCCTCCTAAGACCGGGCCTACCATTTCTGGTCCAATCCTCGCCATCCTCCGCCTCGTCCCTCCATCGACTAGGACGCCGGCCCCCCCGGGCTTGCTCTGGCGAAACGCGGTAGCCCCTCCCGCTCGCGTGCCTGTCCTTGCGTCGACCCCTGTTCCACTCCAGTTCGCGAACCCCCTCGCCGGCCTGGTGTCCCGGCGAGGCCACGTCTCTCTGCCCATCGCTGACGTAACGGTGATAGTGGTACCGAGGGGCTCCGTGGTGCCGCTCCTCGTGGGCAGGCTGGTAGTAGTGGCGCGAGGCCTTAGTACCTGGCGCGTCCTCCGCACCAACGTACCGTTTGCTCTGGACCGGGTGTTCGCCGGCAGGGTAGCCTGGCGGGAGAACATACCGGTGCGGTGCACCGATAGCCGGGTCCCGAGGGACGTGGTGGCTCCCTGCCACCCCCGAAGGTTCCAGCCGCCCTAAGGTTGATCGCGGTGAGGCGCTGCTACTACTGCTGTCCACGTGCCGCCGGATGTGGGGGAGGCTCGGCGCGTGACTCGGCGGGAGCATCTCAGCCGGCGCGGACGGAGACTGGGGCAGGAGGCGTTGTTGCTCCCAGGCGGGGTTCCATCTCAGTCGCTCTGCGGAGGGGTAGATCGCTCCCTCCATGCCGCTCGGAGGCGGTCGACCTGACACCGTCACGTACGGAGTGCTGGCGGGGTCAACTCCGGACCCCGGTTGGCGCTGGCCTCTCGTTGCCGCCCCCGCCGACTGATTTCCACCCGTCGTCTCGGCGCTTTGCACGGGTCTGCCCCGAACCCCCCCCTGAACACCTCCACCCTCGGCTGCTGCTGCTGCTGCTGTCCTAGTCGAGGAGCTTGGCTGCGGGGTCTTAGGCGCCGCCGCTGGCGGCTGAACTCCAGCTGTGGGCGCAGAGGGTTCCTCTCTCGGCGCGGTACCGATCAGGTGATTATGTTTTACCTCCGGCGGGGGGGAAAGACAGGAGGCAAGAAGCGCCGCAGCTACGCTGGGGGAAGGGGTTCTTCGTTGGTCGCCGGCATGATCCTGTTCCTTCAACGAAGGACGTCGCGGAGCCGAAATACCTTCGTCCACAGTAGCAGTAGCAGAAGCGTCTAAGTTTGAAGGAGTAGGAGGATCCTTTGTCATTGCTGTTGCGGGGGATTTGGGTTTTGTCGGCTGCCGGGAGCCGTTGGCCGCCGGCGCCTCGAACGTCCGCAGGGACAAGCGCATCGCGTCCTTTTGGCACACTCTAGCCCCTTTACTGTACGCCGACATAACGGAGAAAACGACGTGCAAGCCTGACGACGTGTTTGCCGCACACCCCTGGGAAGCCTCCGCTCCCTGTCGGCTTTCCCCTCCGCCTCCTCCGCGGACGGCGAGCTCAACTCCCTGCGCCGGCGCAACTTGGAACTCGTAGCGGTGGCCGGCCACGTAGGGAAAGCGGTGATCCGTCTAACCGATGAGTGTGGACCAAGAACAAGCAAGAGGGCGCACGGTCAATGTGTTGACCCTCGCAGGCATGCCAGCGACCAGCGACGCACAAACAAAAACGTGGTGGAATGACCCCGTCGTTGAATATCTATCTATGTAGTTGATTGAAGGGACTGCAAGATAGGGCGGGAGCTCAGTGGAGCGTGGTGATGATGCGACCACGCGTGATAACATTGCCTTACTCCTATTTTGCGTAGTTGCAAGGTGATGCGAAGCCCAGGACACTGCCACCAGTACGAAAACGACCGAGAGACATATATATGTAGTTCTCAGGAATGTGCCACTCGTGTCGCACACACAACATCGCTGCTGCAAAATCAACCCCCAAACCCAAATCTAAACCTTTATAGTGCGCTAAGTTTCTTGGCGTGTGGCAAACTACAATCCTCCCTCCAACCAGGACACTGACCTGGACGGCCTCGTGCCCGAAGTGTGCCGCGCTATCATGCACGGTGGCACCGTCTATCACGACAGCCGCCGCCGAGCCTGCCTCTTCCCTCAGCGTCACCAGGAGCCGACCGGTGCCCTCGATGCGCGTCACGGACAGGTTCTCGCTCGGCCTGAGAAAGAACAGAGCGGGCTGCTCCCCGCTGACGAGATGCCGCGACACGTCGGTCCGGAAGAGCATCAGGTCTCCGCCGGCCCCGCCATCGCCCTCCAGATTTCCAGTAGGCTCTCTCGGGCTACCACGTAGCACAGATTCGGAATGGACTTGAGAGAGCGGCGGCGTAGCCCCTCGCTCGTGTCGCCGCTCGTTTTGGTCCGATCGAGCCTTCTCGTCCTCTGCTGCCAAAGAACACGCTTCGATCGGTGTCCAGCGCGTCGGCAGGGACAGCTCATCGAGCTTTTGTTCCTGCCCCCCCGTTCCTTTCGTTTGTCCGGAAGACCCTAGGTCGCCACCGATGGGCACCGGGTTCGAAGAAGCTCGCGTCCTTCGCTCCGTGCGGCCAACGTATTCCTCCTCGCAGCCGCCCTTTCGCCCGCAATCGCTGCTGCTGCTTCTCCAGACGACCTCTGAAGGGGTTAACGACAGGGAGCCCGTCGGCGGAGTCCCTTCTGTCTCGCGTTGCGCCTTGTTCGGCCCCGCCGCCACGGCCCAGTGGCTACTACGGTCGGCGGGTGGTCCTCGGGCGGCTTCTTCCTCTGCCCTTCCTAGTTTTCGGACGGGCGAGGCCAGGTCAATGTAGCCGTCAGGAATGTCGGCGTGGAAGGATTCCTGCTGCAAGACGTACCTGGCCGTGCGCTCAGGGACAAGCCGGCCGAGCGATGACGCAGACCTTGCCGTCAAGGGCGAGCCGCCGTCACCCCATGGGTCTCCTTCCGATGGGGGGATATCCGGAGGAGGGGTCACATCAGTACTGCCCTTGGTGTCTTCCACAATGGAGAAAGAAGGTGCCAGAAGTGCATGTCTGGGTGGAGAGGCTGTACCCGCCGCCGGAGATGCTGGCACGTTTTTGTTGGTTTTCGACAATTCGAACGACTTCGTCTCACAGTTGTCGGCTGAATCGCGGCAACCGTTCGCCATTGACTCCATCGCAGGCGGAACGGCGTGCCCCGACGGCTCTTGCTGATGGCTTCCCCCCTTTACGGTCTGGTCTGTGCGACCGTCGCTTCGCTCCTTGCTGAGCGGTGGGTATACCTTATTGCCTTCGCTTCTCACCACCACGGCCGTCGCGAAATTCTCCTGTAAAGATCTGCTGGGCTCTTCTTGCCCTGAACCCGACCGCTTCTGGCGCCGCCTGTGAAGTTTCTTTTGCTCCAGGCGGTGCGAGTGGGCATCACTATCCCCTGCCTTACGAACCCTACTACTGCGTGTACTCCTTTTTTCCCTGACAGACGTGGCGGAGTCCCTTGATCGATCGCTGCTGCTCCCCGGCTTGCTTTCCCCGGCGGCGGCGTCATTGGCGGTAAGAACGAGGTGTTTCGTTGCCCCTCGGTCTACAACGTGCACGCCTAGTGCCGACGATGGCGACAGATTTACCCTCCTCGCCACCGCGTGTTTTTCTTCCGGGCGCTCGTCTGTAGTCGAACGCCGTTGTCGCCGTGACACCACCCCTCGGCCTTCCGACCCATCGCTCTCGCTAATTTTCTCTCCTTGAGTTTCCCCGAGATGTAGTCGATTTAATTCATCTCGTTCCCGTGACGAGGCCTTCGCCTCCTTTACTCCCCTATCACCTTTTAGCTCCTCTCCAAGGGTGTTGGCACTGCCTAGGGTATGACCCCCAGCAACCATGATCTTGGCTGGGTGCTCATCGGAATGGACCCTTGGTGTTGCCGGCTTGGTTTCTGGCTGCCCTTTGTCAGCTAGTAGCAGGCCACGGTTCTGTGCCACTACCGATTCTGAAGGCGAATGGTACTCGCGCTTGCCCGTTATGAAAGATGTTGCGTTTGGACAGCAGTATGTCTTGTCGGCGGTGGCCCCGGTAGAGGGCGCTGTTCGTGTTTCTTCTTCGCCACCATCATGGACGTTTTCGGTCGACAACGTCCTCGAAGAACGACCCCGTTTCCGTCGCTTGGAGTCTTGCATTGCGTGTGACGCGTGTGCGGCGGGAACTGCTGGTGTTACTACGTCTTCTTGTGGTTGTGCCAGATCACGGGCGGAAGAGTTCGACGACGACCCACTCCTTCTGCGTCGGCGTTCCTTCTTTTCAGCGGTCCCCAGCGAGACTGACCCATCGGTTCCGTTGTTCTTGGCTTTCGAGGGTGAAGGAAGCGAAGTTGTTTCGCTCTTCTCTGTCTTCTTGTCTGCAACCTCGATAGCTGCAAGGGTTGCCGGAGGAGGGACTGTCAATGCCGCCGAGCTTTCTCTTTTCGATCTTGATCGCCCACTCCTCGTTGCATCAGGTTCTTCGTTAGGGCCATCGTCCTTGTTATTTTGATCCTCAGATATTATGTCACCACCACAAGCAGCAGCAGAAGAGCTTCGCCGTCTGCTGCTACCTTCTCGAATGCTCGATCTCTTGCGACTCCTGCTGATGTTGTCTCTATCAACCCTCTTCCCCTGTTTGTCGTACCGTCGTTGCTTACGTTCGCTAGGGGCACCATCTCCATCGTGATGTGCGTCAACTTCTTTGGTACAAACGGCGTGTGCATCCATTTCTCGCCTATGGGGCGCTCAGCATGTGAAATACAGGCCTCGCGAGCTTTGCCTCAGAGCTCAGAGCTCCGCAAACTCCGGAACCGACGGAGATGCGGCGCAATATGCAACGCGCACGCGACGAACGGTGACGGTTTCATCGAATTATGGTCGAACGGCTACAAAAAATACCGGTTTATGCCATTCTTCAGACGGGCCGGGCGGGCGGTGGATGCTTGTGCGGTTGGTTGGTGAGGACTGCAGGATGCCCCTGGTAGGTTAGGTCGTCCGTTGGGACCTAGCAACATGCAGAAATGTAGTGCTGAGCTCGGACACTCCCACGGAAAAAAAATCGTCTTGTCAATCGGTTTCGCACCATCTAAGTTCGGTCTTTTCACCACGTATCATGCTCTGGGATCTTCGCCATGCGCACGCCGAGATTCGCATTGATGCTGTTGTAGATCCATTGTGCATATGCAGGAACAAGAGCAAAACACGCAGAGACAAGGATGCTGATGTGGGCAGAAGCAAGGGACAGTGCTTGCTTGGGTTTCGCACCGGTGTCGCTTTGATTGAAAATTCCTTCGCCAGAAGTCGAGATCTACAGTAGGTCGCGCCAAGCGCGAAGGCACCGCCGCGGTTTCGCATTCAAAGCTTTCGCTGCCGGGAGAAACTGCTAGGAGACTCAAAATATCGCGAACAAGATTGATTTCGTGTAACTGTAGATTTCGTGTAACTGTAGGTTCTTTTGTTTCCGGAGCAGAAACACATCTAGTTCCATGTGGGTTACGCGCGTTGTGGACAACTCCATCTACCTACCTGATGGAACCAAAACTATGCCTTCGGATCCACGTTGGTGATGCCAATCAATGTCGGCAGGGATCTTTGGGGTTCGGTTTGTCTTATCACCTTCTCCCCCACTCGGTCAAGTCCCCCTCGGTCAAGTCCCCCTCGGTCAAGTCCCCTGAGGCCCTGAGGTGATGATGGCCCTAGGGCATGACTGGTCCAACCGCCATATTCTCCATCACACCATTCGAAAAAACACCGCTGCGCCGGCAGGGAGATAGCACGGTATGGAACTTTTGGGGTACTGCAGAGGCTCCATCCATACTAATCGACTCTCTGCCTGCCCACCGTCGACGACCGGTGGTGGTGTTGTGGTGTCTGGGATCCCGCCGAACTCCACCCCCCCGATGCTCAAACGCTCGAGGTAACGATGTGTCAGATAAAAAAACAAAACGAGATAGACTTGTCTACACCAAGGGACTGAGAAGGCGGACAACAAGCACCAAGACAGGACAACACCAAGGAACATCATCAGACGACAGGACAACGACGAACAACAACAAGCCAGACACAAAACACACACACACAAGGGAGCAAGACGTGCACGCAAAAAACAAAGCACGAGGACTAAACGCTAGGTATTAGGCAAGACCCAAGGCGTGCCGCACCCACCCCCTTTCGAACGCAATTTATCCCTACCGTGCTAAATATCGTAGTCGGTCTACGCATCCCATTGTCAACGCCAATACAGCAGTGTACTGGCCTGACCCCGTGCGTTTTCACCACGCCCATCTGTGGCACCAGCATCGATCAAGTATGTATCTCCGCGAGCACGCCAAACCCGGTCAAGTTAGGATGTGCGACACAAACAAGACTGACACCTCGCGCCCATGCCCCCCGCCCCCCCTTCCATCGTCGCGGCGTGCGCGCCACAGCCTTTGCCCTGCTACAGTTGTATTACTCTCGGTCGTAGTGCACGTAGTCAACGAAAACAAACTGTTGCTGACGTTTCGCCATGGCAACCGCGAGGCCTTTGCAGACACGCACGGCCAAAAAATGGCAAAAAAAACAAAAACGAAACGACGGCATGCATTGTTTGCACCGGCCGCGAGCAACATGCGGGCAAGATCGGCGAATGCGAGCGGGGGCACGCCACAGGCGGGGGGGGGGCGGGGAGCGGAAGGAGACGAATTACCACATGTTTTTTCAGATTAAAAAGAGTTGCAGAAGCAGCGAGAGGGCGTCCGTATCTCCTCGTAGCCTACGCCAGCAAAATGAAACATACTACATTATCCCACGTTGCGGTATCTACATGGCGCCCGAACAACACAAGGCGGAAGCGTATCCACAGCCATTCACTCTACGGCGTGTGGCGAAGAAACCCAGAGACTCTTCAGTTGGAGACAAAGAGAGATATCGATGGGCGGTCGTTAGGGGTCAGCTGAGACGAGGAGCGCATGAAGCGCGAATGAGATCAGCGGTAAAGGAGGAGCTGCGGTTGTACACCACCGACGCCTGCAGCACAGAAACGGGAGGAGCACAGAAACGGGGGGCGGGAGGGTACCAGTAGACGGTATGTCTAGCGTCTAGCGTGGAAATACCGTTGCACGTAAGCCCTTCGATGGTATATCTCCTCCCTCTTGACGCTGATACGCAAACCCTCTCGCTCTAACGCTGATACTACCAAGGTCGAGAATGTAAACAATGACGGGATCACGGCACGTGGTCACGAATAAAACGGATCAGCGCTGCAGCTGTACAAAGCAGCCGATATCCACACACCCCCCGTCTCATTGAGACCTAGAATATGTCGACATCCTTTGGCAGGGTGCCGTGCGAACGACACGGCTCGGATACCTTTCTTGCCGTCATATTTCAATCAAGCTTGAGGTCCGTGGTTACATTATTAGTCAGGTTCGTCCACCGTGCTTTGCACGTGAATTACCGTTTGGCTTGTAAATGAACAGTCCCATTGGTGTTGCCATTGTTGCTGCTGTTGCTGTGGTCGTTGCTACTAATACTGTTGCTGATGTTGTTGCTATCCTTGGTACTGTTCTGTTTCTCACCCGCATTCGCGAGGGCCCCGGCGGCAAGCTTGAGAGCCAGCACCCCCCGCGGAGCCACCGCCGCCCCCGTCAGGAACAGCAATGCCCCTCCGACGGCCGCCTTCTTCACCCTGCCCGACACTGATCATTGGCCGACGCAACGAAAGGACAACGTGCTTTGTTGAGTACGGACGGACGGACGGCCTCAAGTCTTGTCAGGACTTTCAATCCACGTTCAGCGCAAGCATAGGTACAAGAGTGTGCTTGCGGGCAGAATTTTGCACGGCAGGCTTATGCGTCAACCGATTGCTCTTGGTGAAAGAGTCGTACCGATCAACCGGCCCACACAGTTAAGGTGATGGCTGCTCCAACTGTTGAGAGCGTGAGAGCGTTTCATTGACCCCTTCCCTCATCGCCTAAGCAAGAGGAAGCCAACCCCCCCCCCCCCCCTCCGGGGCAAGACATTCGACGCCCAATTGGGAGCAATCCACGAATACCTAGCGTTCGTCGTCGAACGGCGGACACAAAACAGACAAACAAAAGAAGGAAGGAAGAAAGGGAGCAAGCAGGCAAGCAAGCAAGCAAGCAAGCAAGCAAGCAAGCAAGCAAGCAAGCAAGCAAGCAAGCAAGCAAGCAAGCAAGCAAGCAAGCAAGCAAGCAAGCACGCAAGCAAGCAAGCAAGCAACAACGGGATATGACCCCCACCTCGGTAAGCCTTGCCACAGGCGGAGCAGTCCTTGGTGTGCGCGACCATCCTGTCCAAGATCTCCTCGCGGGGGAGAACCGGACCCAGGTCGGAAGGGTCAACCCCCTTCACGCGGGTTGCGGCAGGGGGAACAGCGTCCAGCCAACGCAAATCAAGCAGGAGGATGTGGATCATTCGTCGTCGTCGCCTCGTGGAGGTAGGTTATTCTCGCCGGCCAGGCTATCCTCGTGAAACAAAGAGCTCGCTCGCTCCTGCAGCAGGCGGCCTTTCTTGTGGTTGCCGTTTCGTGCTTGGTGGTGCTCGGGGGTTAAGAGGTTGGTTGGACTACTGAGAAACGTGTACTGGTGACGCAATTTTTCTGGCTACAGTTCTTCGAAGACGCCTCTCTCTGCGGCGCGGGCCGACGGTTTATTAACGGGTACCAGCTGCTGACTTCGTAATTCCTTCTGTCCTTTCTTCTGTGTTCTCTCTTCTTGCGTTGCATCACCATCGACGTCTCTCCTGGGTAAAGCCTGCACGCTGCCCGCGTCAACGACAAATAGCGACCGAGACAGGATGCGGCGGGCCGTCCTTGTTGCACCGGTAACCGAATGTATCGGTCAACAGAGTGGTCGATGTTGCTGTGTGCTCCCCTCGAGAACGTTCGCGCAACTGCTGTGCTTCGTTGCACTACATAGAACCGGGGCTTCTTTCTCTTTTGCCTCTAAGCAAGTTCTACACTTTACCGCTTCCCACACAAAGAGGTTCGGAGTCAACACTGGCAGCCAACACCAGGACAGGAGTAAGCAGCTGTTCCACGATCGGTCTCCGATACGACGGTGCAAAAGGAAATGTCAACCACAAATCAGGATGTGGTTTTCTCTCCCCACATCATCACCAACCCCGCGCTGAAGACTAAACGAAGCACGGCGCGCGCGTAAATTGATGAGAGAGGGAGGGAGAGAGAGAGAGAGAGGGGGGGGGGTGTCAAAGCACGCCACGCCGCTTCACATCTCTCCCCACTACGTACCTGGGCCCACGGAGGACCTCCACCTCCGCGGGAGTTGTACCACTTCCGGAAGGCCCTGATCGTCACGTCCGCCTGCGTCGGCATGTAGAAGGTTCTCTCCGGCTGCTTGACCCCTTGTTGGCCGGCGTTGATAAGAAATCGTTCCTGTCGTGGTTGTTGTCGTCACCGTTGTCGCCGCATTAGCTGTTATCGTTGTTATCGTTGTTATCGTTGTGTTGGCGCTTTTTCATATGGCGACGATGGCGATTGTCATTGTGATTTTTGCTTGCCGTGGTGGCGGTTGCAGTTGCTCGTCATACAAGCTCATCTCCGACAACCTTATGTAGCCCGGAGTGCCAAACTATTCTGCCCCCAAGCCGCAGGTACAAGCTTCCACCACGACAGTAAATAGCAGCAGTGTTAGTAGTGGTTCATGTACCCCAAAACAGCGGTGCAATGGTAGGCGCCTCACTCGTGAGTGTTTTCTACGCAATGGGGGAGACAGCAGAAAAATCTTGCATCTCGTGAGAGGCCCGCGATGTCCTTCCGGCTAGAATCAACAGACACCTTTGCTTGGCTCTCAACCGGGCATCATCGTTTGTGAGCAGAGGTTGTTCTCTTGTACTCGGGAGTGGGGCTGGGGGGGAGACAAACGAAGCTCGACAAAATACTTGACTGCCGGCTGGTGGTGAGTCGACCTACCTCTTGACAATCTCTGTTTCGTTTCAACAAGAGTGCCACAGGTAGGTTTCCACAAACTGTCCTGTTCTTCTTGGTCCCGCAGCATCATTTTTGTTGGATGGGAGGCGGGATCTGAACCTCACGGGTCCAACCAATGCCATCAAAACCATCAGACATCTTTTTTCGCCCATGCCTACTGCTGTATATATGTGTAAAGGAAGAGATGACTGCAGTCGTCCTCTACAGACAGACAGACAGACAGACAGGTTGGCGAGATGCGACCATTTCTAAAGGTCACTTCGACAAAACACTACCTATGCACGTTAAAAGTGTTGGTTGCAAGTGCGGCATATCGACAACTTGAGCGCCGCCATTCGACCCCGATTGTTGCGCTCATGGCGCGCACGTCTTCCAATCAATGACAAGCATCGCGAAAAAACGCCGCTGTGTCCGCGGACGGGGATATGAAGCATAGCGCGAAGGGAAAAAGGGGGGAATAGAACCAAGTTCTCTACATCTTCATGTTTGTAGGGATTCCTTGAGACATGGGTAGCGGCCAAAGTAGTTTACCTGGTATAGGATCAGTACGTGGAACTTTGGGTGAAAATTTAGTTTCTAGGTAAAACCGCCTGCAGTTGAGGAAAAACTATCACGTCATGATCAGGCAGCTACGCAACAAGTACAGAAAAATAAAATCACCACGACCACTAACGACGACAACTGCTTGGCTTCATCACCAACAACAACAACAACAACGACGACCGTCTGGCAAAAGCCCGCACCAAACGATTCTCCCATTCTCCCATTCACGCACGGAGGCCGTTAAGGCAAGGTACAGGGGACACGCTTGGGCTCTCCCCCCCCCGTCCCCCGTCTCCCCGTCCCCCTCTTCTCTCCCTGAAACACGTACATATGCATACCTGCACGTGAAGGGCGGTGCTGTCCCCGTCCAGCACCTTGTGTTGAGCGAGGTGCTCCTTGGCGAGACTGTTACGCCAACGCCGCGGGATAACGGGATGCTGCAGGAAGAAGTTGCGGGGGGACCTGCGCGTGCAGACCACCACGCCGCCGTCAAAAACCAACCCAACCCCCCGCCACACACCGCATTCAAAAACATGCAGCACGAGCAAGCACAGAACGGCCAGGCGTCAGTGGCAGCGGACCAAGGGTGTTCGTGTGGTACGTACAGCAGTACACACGGCACACGCACACTAGCGGAGAAAATACGCCCCCCAGCCGTGCAGCAAACTCGTGTATGCCGTCCTGAAAAAAATAGAGAGTGCTAGTTGTTGTCAAGTAGACACGTATTTGTTAACACATGTTACTGCGTCGATGTATTGTGCCGCGGTGTTGCAGTCAATCCATGACAAACGACTACCTGTGACGGGCTCGGTCCGCTGCTAAAACCGTCATGCCTCCAAAAGCCTCGGTGCCGGATTAAATTTTCCAATCGAGACAAACAAGATCTGTTGTTGCCGCATCACAAGCAGCGCAACTGCTGTTAGGTACAGTAGCGGCTACGGTACGCGGCTACGGTACTGCTGTGCGTGTCAAGAGGTAACATTAAAGATCGGTTATACTCGAGAGTGTTTTTCGCTTGTCCAACCCTCTCTTAAAACTTCGTCACTACTGTAATACCTACCTAGGGCCTACAACCCATCTCCGCAAAAAAAAAGAAATAAAATAAACGCAAAGGCTCGCCAGCTTGTACCCTGTCCCGGCTTTGAAGGCACGAATTTCGTTGTTGCGAAGGTGCAGCAGTGGTCAGAAAAACAAACAAAAATGGCAAGCGTCCCCACCTTGTGAATATTCTGCACCGGCCAGGAGAGGTGGGCACCGCGTAGCCGATGAAGTAAAAGAGGCACCGGTCGCTTGGGTCCCTGTCCGTCCCCTGGGTTCGTACGACCGACGAACGAGAGAGCCACAACACGAGCATGTGTTGGGGGTGTTGGACGACCTCGTGCCTGCAAAATACACGATGGCAGTACTTAACTTACGATACAGCAGTAGAGGTCTCTGTTTAGTGCCCGTACGTGACCCGAAATTCACTGGCACCATGCCGGATACCGGCCCTATTCAGAATATGAATATATAGGTTTTAGTATAGGAGTGGACACTGCGTGCCCAGAGATTTCACGACCGGCACTATTCAACCGACACTAAACAGGGATCCATCCTCTACTGTGCGTTGTACGTGGGCCCCGGCTGTTGCCGTAGCGGGACGGCCCCGTCGCCATCGATAACGCCTCCCTCCTACAAGGACGCCTGCCCCGAGACATGCCTCCAATTTTTCCGGGTACAAGACTGACCGCGATCCCCCAGCGCGTGAAAGTCTTTCTCACGCGTTGCACCCAGCACCACGAAGCCGACATCGAAGAAAAGAACAAACCGGTCATTGTTCGATTCCATTCGGGTGGGTTGCATCTGGGAAAGGCGTTCTGTATTCGATTCAACGCGTCGGAGGCTGCAACGCCGAAGAGTCTCCAACAGAGAGAGAGAAAGAGAAAACAAGAGAATCGCGGGCACGCGTCACTCTCCGCTCACCTCCATCGCCACGCGCTTGTCCAGGTTGAACTTCTTCATCGCCCAGAACGCAGCCCGGAGGGGCGGGGGCAGACTCTTCGCGATGAAGGGCAGTACCTTCATCATCGTCGACGGGAGGGGAGGTGGGAGGTGCGGGGGGACGGGGGAGGTTTGCGCGCGAGCAAGGGGAGGGGAGATTTGAGCGCGAGCGAGTGCAAGAACAAGGAGGCTTTGCTGCTGCCGCTGCTGCTGCTGCTGCTGCTGCTGCTGCCGTGCACAGCAAAAAGTACCTACGACTCCAAGAGGGATATCCTGTCCCTAGACCTGCCGCAACCAACCCCCCCCCCCCCCCCCTGCGTTACGAAGGGTGAACGAACGGTGGTTCGCCCCAACTGAAGGAGGTAGGGGGCGCAACAGGGTAATGGTACACGTGCTCGGCGCGATGCGGCCTCTATTGTGAGGCCTGGTACCTCCAGTCGCCCGGTCTGCTCGTGAACAGAAAACCTTGAAACGGGAAAATAAAAAAAAAACGCCCCGGCGTGGCAAAGCAAGACACTCAGAGGAACCGGATCCATTGACAACCTTTGCGCCGTCCTGCCGTACAGAGCAAACGAGGCAAGTAAGCCGTCTCCTCACTTCGGTGTAGTCGTTCTCGTAGTAGACCAGGCCCGGCGGCCTGAAGCTCACCCGCATCATGTCGCGCCCACTGTAGCCCGTGGGTTTCGTCAAGAACCCTTCCTTGCCTTCATGCACACCAAACGGCTTGGCGTTAATCAATGCGAGTCAGTTGCGTGGTACGTGCTGCTGTGTACATGCGGTTAAATCATGACCTACATGTAGTACCAAGAGGTAGGACAAAAGTCGGCGGTTGAGTGCCGCGCGTATGTACCGAGCCTGCTGCGATGAACATGGCGTCAAAAAATGAGCCCTCGATGTATTTGACATGGGGGAGCGCAACGAAGCGCAGCCGTTCGTACAGCAGTATACTCAACGTAATGTTGAACATTTACCATGGCCAAGAATGAGCACCCAATCAGATCCCGGAACGTACGGCGTATCCACGTGTATGAAGGGAAAGCTCTGTACACCCGAGAGAAGGCCATGGCACACTGGCGTCCCATCTTGTTACGACATCGCAACAGGGGGGCGGCTTTCTGCCAGAACGTAAAGGGCAGCACACCCCAGCTATCTAGCGCACGACCGGCTAGCTCAGCAGGAAAGGTCGACGACGACGACGAAAACACACACAAAAAAAAAGACTCAAATGAGCACTTTGGTTAGTTACTATTATTGTACCTGGTGCCAGCTCCTCCATCTGGATGGCCATCGGACTGCCCTGAGCCCGCTGCCCGATGACGCCGTGGTGGGCGAAGGGGATATGTGCCGGGTCTGGACATGAGGCGTTTTTTTGGGGGGGGGACGGGGGGCACTCGTTCGCTTCTCGCCTTGGCAATTTGACCACAGATCACGCAGTCTTCTCGAGACGGAGCGGTATTTACACTCTTAGCGGGGGTGGGGGAATCCTATTGAAGGGGGCGGGAGGTCACAGGACCCTCCGAGCGATACTGATGGTGAGGTGGTTGTCTTGGCCCTGGCATATTGTGTCTTGGGCCTGGCGTATTGTGTCTTGGGACTGGCATATTGTGTCTTGGGCCTGGCGTATTGTGTCTTGGGACTGGCATATGGTGTCTTGGGGCCGGCATGTGGTGTGTGCGAGGCTCGCACCGATCAATCGATCAACAACCCATCCATTGGTCAAGTCTAACGACACGGTCGTGCCTACTTCGAGACGAACGTATCGACATGCCGAATAACCCTTTCGCCCAACAAAACCTGTGGTGGGAGGGTCTAGGCAGGGGCTGGCCAAGACCACTAACAACATATCTGCCGCAAAAGTTTGCAGTACGGATGTTGTGAAAAAAAAAATCAAGTCAGTGGCCTGGCCCCATTCTTTCTACTATAATGGCTGTTCTCTCACCGACGAGGTTTTCCACCAGAGTGTCGAAACCGTACGCCAGGTCCCTCGCGTACCAGTTGCTGCCCCAGTCCCCGTTATCCTGCAAATCAAGAAAAAAAAAAAAAAAGGGAACCAAAATATCGAAACAAGGCAAGAAAGAAAGAAAGAAAGAGCCGTCATCATCGTTGTGTGGGGGAAGGTGGGGGCATTGACGCGTGACGTGTACTTGAACAGTTCCCGCCGACGTGGTGCTCTCTACTAATATAATAGGAGTACCGGAAGCAGCCGAGACGGTCACTTGCCGTCGCCGCGGCCGCCGCTGCTGCTACAAAAGACAGATGGGGCAACCACGAAACAAGAAATTGCCATACGACTACGCACAAACCATCATGTCGTTCGGCCCCTGAGCCCACAAAACTGATACGGAGACAAATGCATACCACGCACTTTGGAACAGTAAGAACAGAAAAGCGAAAGCCCCACGTGTGCCGCAAGAATCGAACTTTTCGCTACACCGAAAACAACGCGGCAGGGGCACGGCATGGCGGGATGGCACGAACTTAGGTGGAACAGCAATAAACTTATGGCTCGTCTCACCAGATCCAAGTTGGGCACGACCACCGGGGCCACGGTCTCGCTGGCCTTGACCCCCTCGGGGCTCGAGTCCGGCCACACCCACAGCTTGCCCTGCACGACCTTCGTCGGCAATACCGTAGCGCAGGCCCTGTGTGCGTGCGTGTGTGTGTTTCTTGTTAGCATCGACCGCGCTAACCGGTTAACCAATGAAAAATAAGTCAGTCTCGTTGCGGTTAAGAACACGCAATGCTTTCAAGGACCACAATCTGGGACCCTGTGACCGAGCGTCATGGGGGAGTACGTACGTGCGTGTGTGTGTGTGTGTGTGTTTTAACTATTATTATTAGTACCGACCGCGCTGACCGGCTGACTAAAACGAAAAGACACCAGTCTTACAACAGCGAGATGAAAAAACGCGGGGAAAACAGTCTCCTTCGCACGCGAGCGAGGGAGGGATGTCGATCGCACGCATCGAGGCCTGCCGCCAAGCGCCCACCACCACAGCGGTAGCATCAAATTCCAGCAATCGCGCCCTTATCAACAACGGTCACCTACCTGTTCGAGTTCTGGGCGGTGTCGCGGGCGTCCGGGGTTGCCTGAGGAATACTCCCGCACTTTCCGTCCCTGGGTAGAAAGGGGGGGGGGGGGGGGGGGGGGCCC